GACAGGTTTTCAATGGTTATGACGTGTGTTATTCACACAGTTGTGTACTTGATTAGTTAATGTTAACCAGCCCATGAGAAAGAATCTCTTCACGCTTCATCTCTTCAATTCATCCTGCTGCAGTTTCCTCAGTGAACTCTTTCTGAATCTGTTTGTGCAGTCGATTGCACAACAACAGCTCCTCCCGATTTTCGCATGCATTCCCTCTATAGAAGCAGCGTAAGGACATGACTTCTTATGCAATATCCAAAAGAGAAGTACTATTTGACTGACTGTAAAGTATTCTAAAGACTCCTGCACCATGGGTGCACAAAACAACTTCAGCAATATTTTTTGGTTTGGAGTTTTGTGTTCGCCTTTCGATCAAGCTGCAGGTCTGCCGAGCTACCAATTAATATATCATCAGTAAAGTGCATCTGAGGTTCTTGTCTGATCGTCAGTTTGTAACAGCATTGCCAGCCACTGCTTTTCCTGCTGCCAAAGGCTCAAACATAACAGAGCTTAGGCCTGGGAATGACAACACATCTCTTTTTCATCCTCTGCCATAAAAACAGATGATGGAGGAGTTGATTGATCCTCAGTGACTATTCTTTGTCCTGCCCATTGTTGACCTCTTTAATCAAGTCCCTCTCAATGTTAAGTCCTGTCTCAGCATCCTATTTCAAATCATGTCAAACCACTGAGGAAAATTACAGTCTCAAAGCCATTTCATTTCAGGTCTGGGACAAGCAGCGTGGAGAGTGTACACATCCCAAAATTTTTTTTTACAGCTGCCACATCAAAAACTCAAGCACACTTCAGTCTGACTTCGTCAAGGTGAAACCCATTTTATTTAACAAAGCCCAAGAAAAGATTTCTGTGAGGTCGAAATATTGGTCCATTAAATTCACAGCACCATCATTTCCAGGCTCTTGAACAACAAAATTTTGACTTTCAGTATATTATACTTCAAAATCTTTGTATAAATAAACTCTGAAACAGTAGTAAAAAGGGCCAATGGAAATATATGACATAAAGCCATTGACCAAAGGCGGTAGCTTCAGTGTTTTTTCGGTATTACCCAAAGAATCCATCCACATCACAGCTGACTTCACTTCCCCAAGAATCTACTCACCAAGCCTTGGAATCTAATGCCAGCCAGCGGCCACAAACGCAATCCAACCGGATGTGCCTGTTGTTTTGTTTCTGCTGCATGTTTAAGTAGGTAACTGTTTGCTATCAAATTAGCCATGAAAACAGGAGCCTTTCTCACAAAGCAGGATTAGTGGGGTTGATCTGGTCTCACTGAGGTGGCTCGAATTCAAACAGCTCTCCGTTGTTGTGGTAACTAATGCTGCAGACCATACTGCAAGTTTTGCTCAGGCTTCTGGCTCAAAACATATTAAAGAACAATCAGTCAACTGTGTGGAAAAATGGAGCAGCATTTACACAACATCCCATAATGGACAAAAATACAGTATAACATGTAAGTGCTTTTGAGCCCGGAGTGCTTTCCATGACATAAATGGAAATGTAATCAATGTCCAACCCAGGGTATAACAACGGGACTTCTAACAAATACCAGGTAGCTACTATACACTATCAGAAATGAGTAAAAGGTACTGTTGCAAATGAATTGTGCTGCTATTCTTTCATATCCTACGCAGTGATTAGTTCAGTCTGGATGGCTGCATCCATATTCCATCACTGTGTCTCTGTGGAAAATGAGTCTTTGTGCATATAAACGGTTTTAAAGATCTCCTCCATTATCCATTCTGACTACATGCATTTGCTATTACATACTCACATTTTTGGACATTTGCTTTCACCATTACAATTAATAAAAGAGTATGAATTATTATAGAAAAGTTAAGTTTATGAGTACACATTAGCATGTTTTGCAGGTTGGCCAGTTGGGAACTAGTTCTTTTTTTAAAAATGCTGTTTGATTTCAGCACAACACAAGATGAAATCCTCCGTCAGCAAGCCAGATCTGAGACGTTGGCACACACACAAAAAAAGAAGGGGTCTGTAAGTAATGAACTCATCGCAAACCAGGAAGTAATTGACACCTATAAACTTGCACTAGGTGTGCTCTGGCCTGTGGGTGGCTGCCACAGAAACAATTATATACACCTGCTTGAATTGAATTGAACTGAAAAAAAGACACAGCTCCTCTTTGATCTCCTGCTTTTATAGTCAAAATTAAAATACTGGCTGAACTTTGGTACTCTATCACAGGTGGGGATCAGCTTGTAACACATTTGGTGGCATATAGATAGATAGATAGATAGATAGATAGATAGATAGATAGATAGATAGATAGACACTTTATTTATCCCCTAAGGGAAATTCATAATAAATTATTATAATACATTACCTATTATCTAAATTGGCCCCTGCTGGCCACCTCTGGGCATACAGGTAATTGGCTTGTTAATTAAACCTGCATTAGCTGATTTTTTTTTTTTTTTTTTTGGCATCTTAGGGTTGCCTGTTTGCACAACACTATCATTCATTTTGAGTTGCTCATGAAACTAAGACCAGGCTCCACTGTGTTTTCCAGCTAGTTGCTAATGTTTACTGTTTGCTGTCTAGAGCTGGGCCTGCAGCATACAGAGGGTTTATCAGAGCTTTTCCTCCCTGTTAGGGCTGGAAATGATGCTGATGAGATTCAAACCAAGACATAATTACCTGAAAGATGCTAAAATGCTTCATGGAGCTGAAGGCCACTGCAGAATCAGATAATAGTTCTCTGTGCATTTACAAGCATCCCTTTTCACATACATTGATTGCTCATATCAACATTTTGATTATAGCAGCTTTAAGTAAGGAAGAACATGCAGTTAAAATTTTAACATCCCAAAACAAAAACAACCAAGTTAAAGTGATTAAACGTGAGTTATGTATTTTCCTCCCTCTTCTCTTCTGGTGATGTTGTTGCCGTCCTAAAGTCTGAAGGGGACAAATGGCTTTCCTCACATCTTAAGGTTTTACTGAAGAGTACCCGTGATTAAACTGTGGTGGCATCTCTGTGTCCAGTTTTAGGCAAAGCTGCTGCAAACATCAATAGAAAACAATATTTTGGGCACAAAAGCACAAAGAAAGATACGCTAAGATGATTTTAAAAGCCTTTTACTTCTGCTGTTTGCATTTCATCTAATGGAGACAGTTATAATGACCACCTGTCAGCTGTAGCTCTGGAAGTAATGGCCTGCCTGATGAAACCACATGCCAGCTCTCCCCATAGTATCCCCTTGATTTGTAAGACAAAAAAAAAATGCAAATTTCACTGGAAAAAAGAAAAAAAAGACAAGTTAATCTGCTGGTCAATTTCTACACATGGAATAATTATTGAAGCTGCAGTTGAACCAATTATCTCTAGACACAGCAGGCCCACTGGAAGAGTAAAACATATTAATAGGCATATCTTGGTATTTTTTGACATTTGCTCTTTTCTGTGGGAGTCAGAAGACTTACTGGTGTAGTTGCCTGTTTGTGGCTTTCACACTGTTTGAGTTTAGTACAAAGGATAAGTCTGCAGTATTACTGGAGTCGTCTGTGCTGTGAAGATCAAATCCAGGAGCCCACTGACTTTACAGAGTTGATTGAAACTGCTGATTGAAACTATGTCTCATTTCTGTCATAACTTGTGCCATGCCTGTGTTATTTCCAGTCGATCAGTCCATTAGATTGTGAGACCTGCTGGACTGAGCTGTAAGGCAGGATAGATTATTGCTAAATTGTCTGCAGCATTTGACATTTGTGTTGCTCCTAAAGATAGTACTATTGATGAGTAAACTATAGAGCTTTTATTGAAAAGCTTTTTATTATAAAAAAAAAAAAAGTCTTTGAAATATGTAAAATCATTAAGTATTTTAGTTTTTGTTTTATTTGGGCTGCAAGATTTCATCCAAAGTTAGCTTGAATTAAATGGTGTGGCATAACAGCCTGGCATCACCAAAATGGTGTATAAATAAAACGCCAATTTCCTTAGATTATTTCACGTGTTATTTATCGATTTATTTCACACAAGGTCCTGTGTCTTTTAAGTGCACATAGATAAACTGCTGAGCCATAACTGCTGCCTCAGAAGAATGTGATTTTATTTATGATGAAAATGGCTCTTCAGATGATAAAAGAAGGAGGACTCCTGCAGTGAGATGAACGACACAAATCTGCACAGAAAGAGTCGAGGCTGAGATGGCTCAAACTGCAAATGGGAAATCAGCAGGTTGCCGCAGAGTACCCGTGGCCACCAGAGGGCCCCCGAGAGCGCCTGAAATGTCCCACAAGCGAACTTCTCTGTGTGTGTGTGTGTGCGTGTGTAACAGAAACTCCACCAGTGGACTATTACACAGTAATATGCAAAAAACAAAAACAAAAAAAAACAAAAAAAACGCAGTGACAGACAGACAGACAGACAGACAGACAGACACACACACACACACACACACACACACACACACACACACACACACACACACACACAGGTTCAATGGTAGATTTGCCTGCTGCACAGCATTTCCCTCCTAAACTACAAACAGCAGCGGAACAGCACAATAAAAATTAAAATTAAAAATGAAATGAATAAAAGAAACTGAGAGAAAAAAGACAAAACAATGACAATATCGTGATTTATTACGTCAATCTGAAGAACAAACCCCCCCTCCATTTCTTTTAGTGCGAGAAAAGTGCGCCCGTGCACGCGCACAGCCTCCCTCTCTGAAATATAGGTTAAGAGATATTATTTGTACAATCTACCTTTGATAATCTGCGGCTGCACTGAGAGACTCTGCGCTCTGTGACGTCTCCTCCCTGAGCTCTCTCCACCAACAGCTGCACCACTGCGATTAAAGACAAACTGTAGTCTACTATGATACATCTTTCATTACTGTACCATTCCATTTCATTTCCTTTGCAGCAACGCACTACTTCATATGCTCCAACAAAAAAAAAGAGAGAGAAAAAGTTATTCAAAGTATGTGTGGGGAAAGAAATATATCAAAGATAGAACCTACCAAGCGAGTTTCCAATGAGTGAAACGAAGAACACAATAATGTAAGCCACAATCAGCACCCATTCATACTGCTTGGGGTGTAAGTACTCTCTCCAGATGTATCTCAGAAGTTCATCGTCCTCATCCACAGTGGAGTGCAGATGAAACTCCGTGCTGTTGGCCACATATGCAGAAGATATACAATCCTCGCAATCCATATTCCCAGTGATGCCAGACATCATTCGAGCTGTTAGTGTGTCTCGTTGTATTCCCGCTGTTAATCGTGTGTCTGCAGTGACCGCAGGTTGTTGAGCAGACTGCCAATAAGGACGCGGCACTCTAGCGCGATAATAACGCGCTCCACAGACCCCGTCGGTGTGACGCTGATTTTCTCCTCTGTTTCTTGTGCTCGGCCACAACAGCAGGGTCAAACACCAACAACACAGCTGATTGTGGCCAGCAAGGAGCTGTGAGATGTACTGCCCACCCCACTTCTCCTCAAAGGACAGAAAAAGGGATAAAAAATTAAAAAAAAAAAAAAAAAAAAAAGGAGAAGGGGCCAAGTCTGAGAGGAGAGGCAGAGGGATTATAGGGGGGAAAAAAACTTATTGTCTGGTCCTGAATGTGTGTCCCAGCCTGTGCTATTTTCTGATATGAACATTTAAGCATTCCCACAGAAATCTGACAAACTGGTTCAGTGGCCTATCATATTTCAGGTTATTTTATATCACCTATATATCTGCAAATGTTCTCTCTAGACTTTCTTAAATGTAATATTAAATTCAAACTTTTATTTTTATTTCAACACTTCCATGGGGCATATTCAATTCAATTCAATTCAATTCAATTCAATTCAATTAACTTTACTTGTCCCCAGGGGACAGAAATAGACTATACTACAAAGAACACACAACATGTGAGAGACAACTGTACACATTAAGAAAAAGAAAGGAAGTGGTGCAAAACAAACACTATACTATGTAACTATAATGAGATGGACAGTAACAAGACAACCTGGGAAAATACCATCACTAGTGCAAATAAATACTGTACACATAAATAAATAACTGACTGTACTCATTATGATAAAAAAATAGCCATATGACAGATAGTCTTAGTGCAATAAAAGAAACTATATTGAGTTTTCCCTGTGGTGGACAAGGAAATGTAAATGATTGGTTGACTGGATATTGGGCTGCAGCAGCTTTATCTGTTTTGAATTCTGCACAAGAGCTCCGTCAGGAGCCTCTGAATGAGGAACGGCTGCATAAATACTCCAAGGGCGACTTGAGACCATTTCATACACCCAGTTAACCTGCATGACCAAATTGCGTGAGCTGTGAACACAGCAGTGCACACCATCAAAGTAAATTGGGTAATTTGTCTCAAAACGTGGCTAAAATGATGAAATATTGACAGGGTGGGAATGGTGTGACAATAGGTCTTTTTTTTTAAAAAGGACCAATTTATGGGGAAAATATAAACTTAAATTATCACAGTAAATTAGATGAAGTGCTTGTTTTTTTATGTCTTCAAGAATCAGTCTTTCCACTGTCACTGCAATACAATGGGTGCAAACTAACAGTGATCATTTCTCACATCATCCTGCTGAATCCCAGGCTCTTTTTTTTTTTCATACAAAAAAATAAAAATAAATAAAAAATACGATGCTGCTGATGAGTTTGGCTTCAGTGAAAAAAGTGGCCCCAGATGATAAAAGTGCTGGAAACAGTCAGTGAGACAAACAAGACGAAACTGCACAAATGGCTGATGACAGCTGAGGTCGAAATGAATCAAATCCCAAATTTGAAGGGAACAAGTTTTTGTTCACCCATGCGTGACATACCCCATCAGCCTTGTCAGATGAGCTATGTCATGTCCCAAATATCATCTTTTAAATGGATTTTAAAATATACTCTCACTAGATGGACATTTACCATGACCAATCTTTGATAAATCCCCTTATTTGGCACAAAAGTGTTGGGAGACAGATGGAAGTGTGATTCATCTTTTTTTTCATAGCAACTTGAGGTATAGATATATTTTTGTCCTAATTATCAACATTGTTATTTGATGTTCCAGACTGCGCAAAACTGTAATTCCATTATTAGGAGACAGCAGGTTTCCTCTTTGCAGGTTTCTTCTGAACTCCATTGTATAAATGTGATGTGTCTCATTTCTTCATCAGAAGACTCATATAATTGACTCTCCTGTCTCAGCCAAGATTGTTAGAATGACTCATCATTTCTCAGAGAGCCATCTTTATTCCATAAGCATAGTGATCGTGGGATTGTCAGTTTTAAGTTTTGGTCTCTTGTTAAGTCTTTTTTCAGTACAGGTTTCATCAAGTTTGTTTGTTTGCTATTACCAAACGCTGGACGTTTCAACCATTTATTCCATTTCTTTCATCTGTATATTTCAAATTCTCTTCTTCTCTTGCCAACTAGTTTTAAAAGCCTTCATGTTAAAGGAATAGTTTGACACTTTGGGAAATAAACTCATTTGGTTTCTTGCCGAGTGTTAAATGAGGACCTCAATACCACCCCTCACGTCTGCAAGCTGAAGCAACTGCTTGCCATATGTATGGTGCAGTACAGTGTACCAAACTGTTGCTGTATATTGGAGGGATTGTCAGAGGGGCAGAAATGAAATATGACTGTGATCCTGCACATCTTTGTTCCTTTAGTTCAATTTATACTCAACAAAAAGAAAAAAGAAAAAAAAAATCACATGAGGAAACATGAAAAAACAAAGGTGTCAGAAACAATGAAGGTTCCCCTCAGTGCTCACAGGGAGACTAGAAACTGAATGACTGAGACTCATTCTCTACAACTGATTACAACCATGATCGAACCCAGTTGCAAAATTATGATTCTACTTCATTATTTCTGTGTCATTTAAAATTAATGGGCTGCTCTCAAAAGTGGTCTGTCAATTTAAAGCCTTATTTTAAGTATTTCCAATACATGGTTGCCATGACACCACAGTCAGGTTTTTGCATATAACAAAACCCGATCCAATCCTGCTGTCCTTTCTGGAGCTTTGGCATTTGCTGTTGTACTCCAAATAATGATTATCTGTAATTAAAAGCTTCACACAAACAGTCATCAAACTTCCAACACCAAGGACCCACACTCATTTGACTTTTCTCTTGCGTGTTTGCTATTGATCAGCGAGCGCAGCTAAAGTATCAAGACTCTGATGAGATAACAAAAATGACTCAGTCGTGAGCTTAAAGTCAAGTGCTCGGGCCTTTGAGGCTCCTCTTTGCTAATCAGATCCAAGTCTGATTAGCAAAGTCCAAGTTTAAAGGATGATCACAAATAAGCAGCAATTTATTTCTATCTTCAGTTCCAACGATGCCCTCAAGCTCTAACTCCTACATCAGCTCAGAGGAGGTGACAACATGGAACTTTGGCACTCATTATGAACAATAAAGTAATCAAACAAAGTGTTCCCTTTAATGGAGACTGAAGTGTAGAACACTAATTTATAAACATTTATCTCTGATCATTTTTTTCCTATTTAATGACATCTAAAGAGTTATCAATTATCCAGTCAGACAGATCACCTGCACAAGTCATTAAGCTCACCGCACAATAAACTGTGTCTTTCCATTTGAACTAATGAATAATTATAGGTAATGGCTCCATTGGCTCTTTCTAAAGATGTGAAAAAGCTGGACCCGGAGACTTGGATGTGTCACCATGCTGCTGCAGGGGTCAAAATGTGAAAATTGTGAAATCTTTCAACCACTTTCTAATGAATTTCATTTGCCTACCCATGACTTTTTATAACTTCTTTATGATTGAGACATAATCTCCAAAAACATAAAGAATGGGAAAATATTTGTAAACCATGACCAAAACTGGAGAAACTGTGCTTAAAGCTGGAAAAAGCGAGGGTAAAAAGAGGAATGATATACGAAACATAAAATGTATTTACTTTTACTTTTATTTGCTGCTCCTCCTTCTTGTGTTATTATAAGTTAAAACTGTTTTTTTGGGGTTTTTTTTGCGCAGGTTGGGTTGGTTCTGATCAGATCTTGCATCTTGACCGCATGCAGAGTATGTTTTGTCATGTGGCCACCGTCAGCGAGGAGACGATGTCTCCCACACAGGAGCTAAAAGACACTGTAAAGTTTAACACTCGCCACGTCTTTCAGTATCTGCTCCTGATAAAGACCCAGCTGTCTTGTACAACTCTAAGCTCTGTTTTAATTATTCCTCATTAATTTTTCAGCATTATCTGCTTCATGGCTCATCGCAGTGCATTCTCAGACACTCCATCACACCGCTGGCTCTCACACAAAATTGCGTTTATCCCACTGATCTATGACTGGAACTTAGACCTGCCTGTGCCTGCGGGACTATTTCACATAATCATGGCCTTCCCTTGCAATCACTGAATGGATGTAGTGCTTAGCATTTACACCAAGGTCTCATACTGCACTGAAGCTTTGCTGTTGTCCCTTACTTGTAAGTTGCTTTGGATAAAAGCGTCTGCCAAACAAGTAAATGTAAATCTAGCTCAGAGTTTCATACGGGATGCAGACCGTGCACACGTCTGCATGAATCAATAGGATTAGTACGTCCTTATATATATATATATATATATATATATATATTCACACCATGTTCAAAAGTATCATCCTGTAACATCCTGATCCAGACAGTAATTACACAGTCGCATGCAGCCATTAGTTCGGCCATTAGCCATTAGTCCAAACCCACAGTGGAAGCTCATTCAGTTGTATGCATGCATATCTAAGACAGCGGTGCCATACATCCACAGCAGAATATACTGTGATCCAACATACGCATGCTGTATGTTCTGTGTGTAAAAGTTAACTGTTCCCACATGTTTATATTCACATTTGTGACTTAAATGTCTTTAACGTTTGGTTATATCTATCAAAATTTTATGTGTTAAAAGTTGGTGAAGATTGAATTATTTTGTCAGCTTATAACCAGCAGGTGGAGCTGGACCCATGAGGTGTGACACAGTTTAACACTTAACACTCCAACTTTTAGTGTGTCAGTTTAGCCGTGAGGAAAAGTCTGTCATGACTCATACCTATGTACATTTTATCAGCTTTTTGCGTGTGTGTCTGTGCTTTGGTGTGTGTGTGTGTGTGTGTGTGTGTCTGTGCTTTGGTGTGTGTGTGTGTGTGTGTGTGTGTGTGTGTGTGTGTGTGTGTGTGTGTGTGTGTGTGTGTGTGTGTGTGTGTGTGGCTCTGAAACGTGTTGTGGTTTCTAAACTATGGAAATCTGGAAATCTAATTTTTCAGACTGCCACGTCTGAGTTGTGCAAAATGTCAAAGATAGGATCAACTGTCAGGAAGTGACAGAATCAAAAGGTCAGGAAGTTTTAGGGGCACATCAGGAACAGAGTAAATCTGTGCAATTTTGTTGGGAGGAATCTCAGCAGAGAAAAAATGTTTTGATGGTAGACTGCTCAGTAATTAGTAGTCAATAACAAAAATTACTCAAATACTGTGAGAGATTTAAACCCTATTCCCAAGTTTTGTTCCGTCATGATTAATTACGCCTCTCATCTTATAATTGATTCAAAGGACAGCAGATCTGTAGACATAAGTGGCAGAAAACCCTCTATTATTTATCCAATTAAACTAATCTCCACTGCAGACACAACTGCCTGCTACATCTTCCAGAACTTATCGTGATCAGGAGACAATGAAGGTGCTGAGGGACTGCACAAGCGGGAGCTTTTATCCTTCCTTCCCTCCCCTTACGTAGGGGACGGCAGCAATGCAAACAAGTCACATCTGTTCACCCCAGAAGTGATTCAATTGCTGGATGTGAGCTGCATTTCAGTGACACTCACTAACATCCCATCAGCATTGTCAAACTGTGTCAAAAGTGTCAGGAGGCGGAGGATGTTCTTTAGGTGTATCCAATAAGTTCCCTGTCATATTTTGGATGAGCTGACGACTGCCATCAAAGCGAGAGTATCTGTAGCTAACAGAGCGGAGGAGGAGGAGGAGGAGGAGGAGGAGAGAGCTACATTGCATCGCATAATATTGAGGCTGCTAATGTCTTTCTTATTGCTCTAAGATGCAGAGAGGACAATGGGATATGATTCAGTAGAGTAGGATATTTTGGGATATGATGGGATGGGATAGGGTAACATATTGGCTCAAATTATGGTCAATATGATTTTGATCTTGTAAAGGGATGTTCACAAATAATTCCAAAATTTTGTAGTTATAAAACCTTTGTAAACCTGTAAAATGAACATGCTTAAGAAATCCAAATTTGTGCACGTGTAGAAAAGATTTGTATTTGTAAAAACTAAAAGAGGCTGTGCAACTGAAACCTGTGAACAAATGACATCAGTGGCAACACAAAGACAGAACGTCTGTGAACAGATACAGAGCAGAAACTAAAAAGGTCTCACAGTGAGTGACCGGGAGGTAGATTTTCTGCGACCCAGGCGGGTTTACATTAGAGGAACCAGGGGCACGTTCAATCTGAAAACGTTGCGCACCCTTTTGCTACAGTTTCCAGGTTGAACAACATGTCTATGTTTAAAATAAATATTTCGCTACTTTTTGTCAGGGCTAAATGTGCCACAGGGGTCTCACACAGCATTTATATCCCTTTGTCGTGCGTCCAACGTATTGAGACCATGTCCTGCATTTTGATTGATTGTGATAGTGCTGAATGCATAGAAAAAGCGATGCGTGAATGCATGTGTGAATGAGTGAATGTGGCTTGCAGTGTTAAGTGCTTTGAGTGGTTGACAGGACTAGAAAAGTGCTATATAAGTGCGGTCCATTTACCATCTAGTTTTCAAGAGTCAACACTGCAGGACACATGCTTTTTTTAAAACTTGGCTTTTATCCAATGGTTGTGAGGAAATCAGGGAAGGCTGTCGTCATGGAGTTTTGTTTGATGGCAATCAAACTGTGCACACGTGGATCTTTGCTGCCTACACTACTCCCAACGGGGAAAATTGCATGTCACCACAGTCACAAGCTATGCAGATTTCAGTGGAATATGACGGACACTCCCACGTAGAAAAGGAAAAGCAGCTGCAACAAAGACTGGGAAACAACTTCTAAGCGGGTGAAGCCAGTGGAAGATATTTCTCTTCTGCCTTTTTTGCCAGAGTTATTTTTCAGTTTCACACGGGAGAGAGCATGATGTGACGCGACACAGTGCACAGTGTGAGACTCACAAGAAACATGTGGCTCAAAAAGAGAATTGTTGATCTGTGGATGTATTCCTACTGAAACCTAGAGATGATTGCCACATAGATGAGGTAACAGCAGCGGGCATAACTTGCATTTACCACATTGTTCAGCTCAGCTTTGGTGACGTGTCCCACACTGTCCCACACTGTCCCACACTGTCCCACACAAACATACTCTTTCCCCACATTTGGTTTTTAGGAATCTGGTCATCCCAGTTTGCATTTACGCACAACACATTAAATATTTACCATTATTTTCTGCAGCATCATCAAATATAATTAAACCCACCTGGGTCACTGATCTACCATCTGATTGGACAGTTTGACTCTACTTTGTGATTGGGTTGTTACTGTCCAATCGGATTCAGGTGTAAAACCAGGCTCAAAACTCAGACTGTATATAAAAATAAATGCACAACTTCAGTGTCCCACACTGTGTGGGAACTTTGAGCACTGCCCAAAGTAGCAGTGCTCCAGCTACATTCATGAATTAATTAGTCAGCATTATCAGCTGCAGCAAGGGGATGTTGATGCATAACGCCACACTCCGTACCCGTGCTTCACAAAAAATGGTTTTGTGTTGAATAATGTTTCACAATCAAGTATGTTTACTACAGCGCTGCTGTTCATGGTGTAGAGCTTACGTTATGTTAGGTTAAGCCTGGAGGCTGCTGAGATTAGGGTTTAAATTGGGACACTATAACTTCTTTACAACTGGATGGAATATCAGGCACAAGAGTTTGGCCATCTATCTTGGGAAATAAGAAAAATACATCTAGAAAGGCAAGGTACAATTTTTAATTTTTTTTTCATGTGCAATATCCGATAAAACTCTCTTGATAAAAAGGGAAGAGAGACACAGACCAGTCAAAATAGAGAGGCAGGGTGCTGGCTGTGGTGTTGGCTGAGCCATGGGGGACACAGAAAGAAAATGAATTTCATTCCACGCGTCACTTGACTCCCTTATTTATATTAATGGTGAAATAAAATTGATTGGATGACATCTGATAAATATTTATGTTTGGTCCTAAATTTTTATTTATGTACCTTTACTTTGTGCTTCATTTAACATATAATATATGTTTCTTTGTCTCATTGATGAAGGTTGATTTTAATGGACACTGAACAACTGTCTTTGATCACATATCTGTGCTTATAAAAAAAAAAAGATTTACAAGGGGACAAATACAATCACTGTAATGTTCAGAACCATTGAGTGTTTGGATTCACACCAACTGTGACTAAGTACAGCATCACAGATGACAGGTTTTGAACATTTAATTATTTTTGAAAGACCCCAGTGTGTTGAACTTCGAAGTAATCTCAAAGTCCTCTATTTTCACTTAATACATTTAAACACTCTTTTTCAGAAGAAGCTCAGAACCTGGATACAGCAACCAGTAACTTCCTGCTTCATGTATAATGTCATGTCTAAAAACTGTCAAAACAACAGTTTGTTTTTCATATTCTTATGTTACTTGATAGATGATATGCACATTTTTTTTTTTTGAATACAGAAACTATCATATCAAAATACTATTTTGGTTTTGTTTTTTCTATCTTGGGTCAATTATGTAAAGTCATTAAACGTTTCCATATGTACATGGATTCTTTTACTTGTTTGTTTTTGACAGTTTATTGTGACATCTATGCTTGCGTATGGGTTTTGCTTACACCAAATTTCTTTTTAGCAAATATTCTTTTAGTCACTTCCCTTTTTATAATTTGAGCAAGTGTCTTTTGACAGAACTTTTTTGCAGAATTCTACAAGCGAATAAGCGTATAATTTAAATAATACATCCATATGGAAGACAAAAAGAAACACATAAATCATCATCCATCATTTTCATCAACATTTTATCAGCATCACCAAGAGAAAGTACATGGATCCTCTGTATTTGAATATAGCCACTATGTTCTCACTGAGCAGAGGAAAACAAAGACAGTTAGTGTGGAATTGGCAAGCAATGTCAAAATGACAATTTAAAATATCAGAGAATGCTCAGTTATAGTGCTAAACACCGGTGTGAAGAATGAATATGTATATGATGAATTAAAGAGATTTATTATTCCAGTTTGTATGTATATATTCAAAACTGAAGGCCATGTTTCTCTGTGGTTAAACCTTGAGGAAAATAGGCATGTGTATTTTTCATTTTGCTTACAGTGCCCATTGAATTTTGCCATAAGGCACAGTGGTCATAACATAAAACAAATCCTTGGATGCATGGCATCTCTCAAAGAGCAAAGACCCTGTTTGGGCCCTGTCACGTTTGCAAATCCAGTACGTTTATAAAAGAGTTAGTTTCTCCTGGAACTCAGTTGAAAATGGTACAAAAATTTATTACAGAAACATGTTGTGCATTTTAACAAATGTTTGCAACCCTCATAGCATTCATAAAACCTCTGTGTGGCACATAAAGGACAAGGTTGTGATGACGCATTGTTATGTTTGTCATCATGTGGAGTGGTGGTTAGCTTGCATGCTGATTGCATATGCAACATCTTTACCTTGACATGCTGACAACACTGAGACAGAGTAGTTCCCTGATTATGAACTACAGCTCTTTGGTATGCATGCACGCCTGCACTAGCAGCAGTAAACTGTATACATCTCTGACAATTTGACGCGACTGTAATTTAATGTGTCGCCTCGGTTGACGCCAGTGGAGGACGGACACAAAGACACCTTGAAAGTGGTATTTTAAGATTTTGTTGTAAAGCTCTGCAGAATGTGTTCAAACAAAATCTATTGTATTCTCTTTTCAGCAGTGTTAGTCAGTGCACAAAAGAAGCAGAGGTCAAAATGTAAACAATGTTTGCTAAAAACATAAAAACAACATACTTTTAAAGTAGTAAGTAGAAATAAAGGTTATCTATACAAATATAAACAATACCAGTCAAGTGTGCATTTGTAATAATTGACTACTTAATTGTAGACTATGTGTTCTGCTAATGCAGGTGTCACTACTTGTTCTTGTGTATGAGATTTCCCACCCTTTGAAAGAATTTCTCCAGCTTATTTTCATGGTGACCTCGTGTAGCCCGGGTAAAGTTATGTTCATTAGCTGCCTCACCTTTAGTAAGGCTTTTGGTTTTCTCCTGAGAGTGTGGAGATGGAGATTGTTTCTTTTCAATCGAGCAGAAAGGCTCGAATCTGCTGTACAGGCGATTCTCGGCTCCTCGACTTTTGCCCCAGCTGCCTGCTTCGAGGCCAGACCTCGTGCTACTGTCGAGACCGGTAGATTTCTTTGGCGTGGTTGTTTTTGGGAGGGGAGCCTGTGGTCGTTGCTCCTCAGTTGTGAATCGAGGTTTTGAGTTTAGATGGTCGTCCTTTAGCCACTTCCTCTGGTTCTCTGAGGAGGACCTGACTGACTCAGTTGTGCTTTGGTTAAGTTTTCTATCTGATGTTTTCTCCTCATCCTCCGCCGTTATAGTGTCTGTGCTCCCACTTGACTTGAGACTCGATGTTTCCACGGTTCCAAATGAATCCCCTTTTTTCTCCGGTATGTTTGATACTATTTTCTTCTGTAGAAAATGCTGAGAGCCCATCCTGTTGGATTTAGCTGTCAAATCCTTGCCTCTCACATCCAGCACTGCTGCAGACACAGTCCTGGATGGTGGCTCCTGCCAGTTGGGACCCTTTGAGCCTGTGATACTCTTGACATCATGATGAGAGACGGACCTTTGATCCTCATTCAGATTCAACCCATATCCGCCATTCTGTGCATGGATCCCTGCTGCGCTTCTATGTATCTGCATCCTTGCAAGGGCATCATACATCTGACCAGAGGACTCATGTGTGTAGTCAGTGTTTGATCTTGGATCTGCCACACTATGCCTTTTCTGCCAACTGTCTGCTAGGATGTCAGGGTTTGTTATCATCTGTCCACCTGTTGCTCTGCCGTAGCTGGTATATACAGAGTGGTGAGAGTTTCTCCCTGGGCCGTAGCTTGCATTGTTACGATTGTCATCCAAAATCTGCCAACTTTTTCTCTTTAACATGAACTCATCATTATTTATCCTATTCTCACCTGCTGCTGTTGGATTCCACTGCATCGATGAGTAGTGCAAAGGGATGTTTTGTGCTGCTGGGGAGCTAACACTGGGGGAAATGTTGTTTATGTGTCTATTTGGTTCCATTTGCTCCGGCATGTTGGGCCTGAAAGCAAGGGAAGACCTCAATCTTCCCTGCATGTAGGAGCCACCTTTGTCCATTGATTCAAACTGGTCTAAATAGTCAGAAGAGTCTCCGAATGGGATGTCGGGGCGTTTGAGGTAAGACTCGATCCGCAATGTGCGCATGAACGCCTTGGACGTATTCTCCAGCGTTGGGATATTCTGCTGCATGGACAGAACCTGTTTGTCACTGCCATTGTAAGACTGACGTATGTTTTGACCTCTGTGCATCTGTGGCACTTTTAAATAATTATCCATGGCATACTTGTTTGTTCCATTCCCCGTGTCTCTGGAGATATTCCAGTTGCTCCCTCTGGGCCTCATGTTCTGGGGCGGGATTCCCTCTTGTCTCTCTCCCGCGTAGCTGTGCCTTTTGTAGAAGTTCATCGCCTCTGCAGACTGGAAATGGGACAACTGGTTCTGAACACTGATCCCATTCTCAATCAAGGGCCCGAGGTTGTGAGGTTCCTCTTCGAAGAGCCTCTCTTCGAGGTCTCTCGTGCCCAGTTTCCTCTCACAGGTCTTGCGGTAGACCGTGTCCAGCGTGTGCCTCAACTGGTCCCTCCGGTCGATTTTCTGGGCAGAATGAGAATTTGGCAAAACCTGTCGTCCATGTTGCGCGTTGCGTTGGAACAAGCCCTCCGGGGGGCAAAGCTCAGCTGGTACAGTCGACCGGGCGTAGAGTGTTCGAAACTCCTCATCGTACGACTTCACCAGATGGCCTTTGATGACCTGCACCATGCTCAGATTGATCTTCTCAAATGACCACGTCAAGCTGTAAACAAACACGAGAACATGAATATCAATCAATGTTAGGACAAAACAAACTCCCTTAAAAAATGTTGCTTTATATGTGTTTTGGCTGTTTCGTTTTCATATTTATACTGTAAGAATCTTTTTTTTTTTTTTAAGTTTAGTCACAAAGTGCTTCAAAATGCATGATGATGATGACAGCAATTTAGTAGAGTGACAGTAAATGTAGTGCTTACGAATGCGTACACTTTAGTGGTCTCCGCCACAGATCCTCTTGTACTGCAGTTTCATTTACCTGTATGAGCCATAAATCGCTGTGTGGCAGTCGACTAAGAGAAACTTCTGCTCCATCGCCCCATGAAATTTAGCTCCTGATTGACAGAGGTAATCCTGACCTTTCACAGTGCGTACCCTCATATTCTGTCATCAGAACAGTGAAAGGAAAACGAAAGAAAAGATTTATCACAGTTAAAGTTTACAGAAAAAAGGTAATAAGCATGTCAATCATGATACTTGTATTTGTTGAGTTCCTGAGTTGTTGTCATTGTTGCATGTCATATGTACCTAACAGGAATTAAAAGGGTGTGTTTGACTCACAGATAAATGATTATGACTCCACCCAACAAACAGGAGAAACCAGGTTTCTTTTACTCAGCAGTGAAGCTTTAACACAGTATATTTAAACAGACTAATTGACATCTGCACCTTTGTATGCACGTGAACTTGTAGGCAAAGACACAATGTGCACGAGTTGTACATCAACACCTCAAAGCAACAAAACAAAGAATTTGGAATGACTTTACAAAATGTGTTACTGTAAACTGCGTTAGAATCAAGAAACATTGTTCATATTGAGATTATCACGCTGATGTTTTAGATGGTATACTCACCCTGAGTTGTTGAATTTTTACATCTTGATTTTCAGCCATTGTGAGGAAACTTTTCAAATGGAAATCATCCAAAAGCACATAGACTGGGACCCCTCGTATCGAGGCATCAACAATCTCTCTGAATATATCGACATCAGTGAAGACGTCCATCACAATGGCAACGACCTGTGAGGGAGAGGTGAATAAATCATGATCAGTGAAGACCAGAGTGGGTACAATCGTACATTTAACCCCGTCACACTTGTGAATGACATATTCAAGAACACACTCACAGTCATACTTTATGCACATGAATAATAAATGTGAGTCTGGGAATCGGTTGTTATTGTAAATGGGAGACAGATTAAGCATATGCAGTAAAAGTAGCCAATATGATTTTACTGAGATGGATTTAGGGAAGTGAAGGAGAAACTGGGGATGAATGTTTTGTACTTTTAATCAATACAACATTTATTTGCCCCGATTCCATTTCTGTCACTGTCAATCTCACACTGGGCATAGTGAAGCTGCAATGAAAGTTCATCAAAATAATGTGCAGTGTGTAGCAGTAACATCATACTGTGTCTCAGTAGCATGTAATGAGCTCATTAATGAACTCATATCCAACTATATAGCAGTATTTTTTTAGTTAATCTATTTCCCTCTTTTAATTTCCTGTGTAGGATAAGTCTCTGTAAAAAAGATTTCTATCCCTCAAATGTACCATGAGATAGACATCTACGCCCAACCAGTGCATTTAAATAAACATTATTTCACGAAAATTGTGGTTTTGTCAGATGTCAAGATATTCCAGCTGTTATGTCATCCATTTCATTTGGATGGTTTTACGCTGCACTGGCTGCAATTATGGGGAACAGAGAGAAATAGACTCTGGTATGTTTCTCTGTCCAGACCTCTCTGTCAGTCTTTTGCTGTGTAAGTTGGTTTAATTAAGAAGAACATATTGCAAATATATTCTTGGGTTTAATTAAGAGCGAGCACAACAGTAACAACAATGCAGCAGAATATTAACTGCAGACTAACCACAGTTGTGAGCTCCAAAACTAGTTTATGATTCATCATGACACAGTCTGAGAAGTAAGTGAGGCGTTAACTGTGTGAAAGACATGATTCCATAATGGTGTAATAGCACTGCAAATGGTTCCCACACTTTCCTCTTATGATGATAAGTTGCAAAACCAGATTTTGACCTCAGCAAACCTAGCAGACACTCCTTGACTTTGGTAACCGAGAGCAACAAAGGTCTGTGGAGCTGCCTGGAGGGGGTAAAGGTGCGTGTGACGTACCAAAAGAACAGTTCTCAAATTAAACAGTACATCTAAGCCAATATGCTGTTTTGGTTTGTGTGTGAGTGTGTGTCTCAGCACTTTGTTGCAGGTAGTTTTTATTACCTGTCTTGCATCCTGAATATGCCTCCGGATCACCTCTTTGATAGTGGGGTTGCTTTGTCTTGGTGGATGAAAGAGCAGATCTATATTTGTCTGTAGGTTTTCATTCATGACCTCCGGCCACCCTAAGTCCAAATCTGGCGTGTCCACATCCGAGTGGACAGGCCAGTAGGTCCCTGAGGATGATTGGTTATCCGGTGCATCATTGATTTCCTCTGTTTGGTTTTGAGGTGTGAGCTGTTCTGCATTTTCAGTGATGAAGAGAAGCTCATCCTCTGACAGGAAGCTCCCGATACGTTCTCCCTTGAGGAACTCCTGGTAACTGTCTCTGCCACCACTCAGCAAGTGATCAATCGCCAGGCGATATGACTCCTTGTAGTGGGGCTGGATGTACTCTTCCGATTTAAACTCTCCCCTCAAGGACGACAGCATGGAAAACTCTGAAGACTCCATCGCTCCAGACTATTTCAGTAGCACCTGTCAAAGATAATGGAAACCAATGACATGATGTCAGAGGATCTGAAAACAAACATAACACTGCAAGACTGGCTCTTGTTGAGCCTAATAAAGTAAACTGTTATGACGTATGTGGAGAGGTCATACTGTAAAACTATGAGCAATAACAGGTACATGTAATAATCTTTAAGGTATAATACAATACATGGGAATGTCATAGTGTAATAGTAGTGTAGCATAGCTTATTATTTAAGCCGCAATAATTGTTAAAGTAAAACCCCACTTCTGCTTTTCATGATACTGTAGGTATACAGTGTTCAGGCTTTTATTTTAACATGACCTAAGGTATTTCAAATCGTCTCAACACTACAACTAATAAAAAGAGATTTTTACTGCACCATTTGATATTGAAAGAAATCTGTAAGTATACAGACACAGAAACAACAGTTGCTTAGGAACACTGAATTACAAGAAAATCAAGATCAAGAAAAGACTGATACTGATCTCTTTATGAACCAGTGAATCATCTGTGGACCTGCATATTGACCACGTTCTGAATGTATTGGTCATGATTAAGTCTGATAAATGGCCGAAAATCTAAATTAACCAATTGATTATATGTCGCTAACTACTTCTTAATTACCAGTGGGTTGCTCAGTTTCTTTCTTAGTAGCTAAACAGGACTCTGTGTACTCTTTGTAAAGGTTCCAGTTTTTGTTTACATTGGGATTGTGGGTACCGGAGGTTTGTATTTTCGGTTGGTGCAAAAGCACAGCAATGTGTAGGTATTATTTTCATCATTTCCAAAGCATTATCAGTAGCTTACATACAACCATACCTATTATTTCCGTGGTTAAAAGTGTGATTCTCAACATGCCACATCATGAAAACTGACTCATTATCAGATGCTGAACCTGTCCACCATTGGGAATCAAGCAGTGCATGCCCAAGAGGAAAATGTTACTGCACCTGTATTTAAGGTGGGGTAATATAAAACCAGATAAAATAAATGTGACATTTGTGAAAGACTTCACACCTCGTCTTTAATTGCACTACTGTGGAATAAAGTCAGAGTTAAGTAAAGGCTTTAAAATTTGTTTGTAATGTAATGTGTCCTGCACATTCTGCAAAACCATACAAACATACACTTACTAGACATCTTTTTTGACTTAGTGATATATAAAGTTGACTTTTCAAACCATAATTCATAGACTAAGTAAAACTTCATGACCATTTTTTTTTTTTTTTTTAAATAAGTTCTTCACAAAAAGCTATGCAAGTAAACTGTAGCCTGTATGCATTTAACTGAATCTCTCAATGTTTGCAAAGTCTAAGGAAGGTTGAAAACCTTAAAGGGGATAGAACCTTTCTTAAGAGTTCATTTCACATTTCAAGACATTAATAAACAACTTTAATGCCTGAATGGTTTTATTTGTGATGGTATTTGACATTGTTGCCTCTCAAATCTGACTGGATGAGAGCAAACCTGCACAGCAGTCAGACAGAAACAGGTGACTTTTGCAAGATTCAAGCTGTTCCCTTTGATATATGGCATGTCCGACACACTTACAGAGAGCAGCCTAGAGAGCAGAGAAACAAGTTTACTCTGTGATTCTATACCACTGGACGGCTACGAACAGGCGTGGGAAAGTTTGTGTGAATGTTTTACTTTCATTTGAGGTTAGGACCCTTTCCTTTTCTGCTCGTACGAGCCTAACGTTACAATTTGAGTGAAGTTTTGAACGTTCGGATGGTTGACTCTGGTGTGCCTTATTTAAATAGATAAGCCAAGCTGTAAAAGAAACATTGAACAGCTATTATTGAGGTATGTTTAATCTTAACCTACAGTGCACACCATAACCTTGTACAAACAGCATATTTATTTAAAATAATTTTATCACAAACCTCCCACTGTCCAGAGAATTCATTTCAAACGAAGCAGTTCGATCGTCTTACAGAGCAGCTGCTTCATGCTGAGCCTTCAAAAGCAGATAGTGTGAGTTAGTCACGACACTATTATCTTATGCTGAACAACAGTAACTTACATTTAGACTGGGAACTATGTGAAAATCCTCTCGACTTGCTCCCCCGGATATCCCTCTTAGATCTATGTATGTTCAACTTATGATCAGTATTTGGAGAAGCTACTGTCTGCCAGCTGGAAGAGACAAAGACAAGGAGGTGTCTCAGCATGATAAGCTGTCTGCAGATGGAGGGTGTGGATTCCAGTTTTGACATGCAAATGGTCTGGTTTGAAACTTGCTCACAGGCAGCCATAAACCTGTTTCAGACACGTAGCCACTCCCCTTCTCTCTTCAGGGACGAAGGTCGCCCTGACGAAAATCAAGATAATGACAGACATAAAGAGGCTTTTATGAATACCTCAGGGTCTGGACCTTTCAAAATGTTCCGTCCAGCACTGTGAATTTACACAGACTTAGACAATAATGCAGGATTGTACTTCAGTGCTTAATCTGTTTTGTATCAGGGGACAAAAGAGGTTTGTAAGACTATTTTAAGTAAAGCATTTATGTGTCAAGCAGGAGTTTCTCAGCGACAGGAGCCCCACAAATCCAAATAAACTTAAATTAGCCAAGGATCATGACTCGCTTTCATCTCACATGTGGGTGAAATATCAGGGTGGAACTTACCAAACTGTGGTGGGGACGCAGCTGTTCTTACATCTGTGGGGAGCCTTGCTGATTTCCCTGTAAATGTAGGAAAGACTCAACCTTATTGAAAGAAATAATGAGTTTTCTTCTATTTCCTCTTCCTTATTATAAATCGTAGTTGTCTGTGACATTTGTTATTCTTCAACCTGTCTGGTCAGCTCTTGCAAAATTCTTGAGAAACTGGCTCATTATGTAACATCTGTATTCTTCAGGGGAAAAGATGCAGTCACAGCAGTCATTTCACCAAAACTAAACAAGCATTCCCTTGAAGCCTTAAGGCACAAGATGGCTCAGTGTGACCTTGCTCAATGGCTTTTAAACATTTACACACAAAAAATATATAATTTATTCTATGAATAATAAATCATTTTTGTTTCAATACATGTATTTATTGTGCCAAACTGGAAGCTTCCCATGAGGGTAAAAATGACTAATTTTACAAAACACAAGACAGAAGTCACAATCACAGTCTGTTTCATGTCTTTTTAAGGACATATTGTATGTCCATGGCTTTATGGATATATTTGTACAAAGTTCCATGTTTTAGTTGGATGCATTTTTTTTATTTTTTTTATTATGTAACATTTTTTGTATTTTTCTTTCATTTGTCCTACGTTGTGTTCAAAAGCCTGTATTCTTATGGTAAACATTGCATAGACTGCACAAATAAACTCCTTACACAGCTGTGTGTATTGTTACAAATGCATGTTTTTTTCTTTTGTAAAAGTTTCCTCTTTTGGAATCCTTTCTTCAAAAGCACATTTCACATATTATCAAAGGACCATTGCTTTTCAGTCCTTTTTAGTCAGTCCTTGTTGTGCATTCGTGTTACATATGTTTACCTTCACCTGTAAATGTCATCACCATGCTTTGCTCCCTATTCAAACAAGACTGTGTGAAAAAAATTGCCCTGCATTTTTTTTTAAGGTGGAAAATGAAAGCATACCATCTCTGAAGGGCATAAATGTAATTATTTCATTGAACACCATTAAGATATCAGGGATTTTTTAATGAATAAATACATTGATTTGATTGTAATTATTTTGGCCTGGCTCTTGCATGATTCCAGGTTGAAAAACTAAATATGAAAATTCAAAACAGCAAATATGTTAAATGCACACACACACAGTATGTGACAATCACAGGATGTGGGTTTTCTATTTTTTGTGGGGGGTTTTTTTCATTTATACTGCCTGTGTGCGTGCGTCCGTGTGTGCGTGCACATGCGTGCTGTCCTCATTGCAGCTCTGCAAATTAAATGTCCCATTTTCAGAAGTGTTAATCAGACACCCCCCTTAAGGCAGCAGTGTGACATGAGGAATGTTTTAACCTCACGCTGGTGGAGAAACCTTAGAATTTGGCTGCCATCCAACTTCAGTGAAACTCCACTATCAGCCTCAAAATATTTCTCAGGTGAGTCCAGGTCAGCATGTCTACTATCCACAGGCTCGAAGCAACCTTTGGCTAAATGAACCTGTCCTCTGGTACAGCTGTTGCACACACACAGGCACACACAGGCGCGCGCACACGCACACACAGGCACGGAAACACACACACTGACCTCACCCCTAATTGCCTGGACATGCAAAAGCACACAGCACGTGTGGTTATGTTTAAAGATACATTTTACCATTCTGCAGCTGCAGGTCTGAGAAAACAGTTTAATGATCAGGAATACTGAAAAGAATAGTTTGATATTTGGGGAAATATGCTTCCTGGCTTTCTTGCTGAAAGTTATAAGATCGATAACACTTATGTCTGTAAACTAAATATGTAGCTTAGTTTAGCACAAGGACAGGAAACAGGGCAAAACTGTTTATGGCCTTTATGTTAAACAAAGCTAAGACAAGATGAGCTAGCTGGTAGCTATTTACCATCCATAAGAGTGGTATCCCTCTTCTCATCTAGGTTCCTGCAAAGAAAGCCGATAAGCATTTTTCCCGAAATGTCAAACTATTCCTTTGAGCCTCCGACAGAGTAAAATGATCATAATAACAGGCTGCTATGCTTTGATTTCGTTTAGCTTCATGTTGCGCTAAATCAGAGAAGACAATGATTAGACTCTGAGGAGATGAGAGGAATATGTTTTTCAAAGTCTTGTTGACAGTCACTGAACTATGCTAATCACATTTGTTAAATGATTATTAATAGATTATCAATTCACTTGAATGTGTCTCTTCTGCGCATGTCCGGTTTTCTTCTTTTTTTATCAAGAGTTAGATCCATCCTTAGGAAATTAACTTGCTCATGAAATTAACTTTCATGAATGTCTGAATGTTTTTTTTCTGGCCACGCTATTGTGCCACATGTGAAATACTAAGATAAAGTCAGGAAATGGAATCACCTTTGCCATAATAGGATCATTTAAAACTGAAATGAGTTTTTATTACATTAAATCAAAAGTGGGGATTTACTGCAATGTAACTGTAATTACCCCTTCAGCGCCGTCTTCCAAAAGACTCATTTATTGATAAGAACCCACAGAAAACTGTTCATGCAGTCGTGATATCCGATCATACAGTGCGTGATATGTAACACGGATATGTAGTGACTCTGTTCCTTTATTAAGACTGAAACACCTCTGGTAGTTCCTCAATGCTTCTTCTGAAAGGAGCCTTGAAGAACAAGATATGTGCACCTTTGTTCGGTAGTGTCTTGAATCTGGGTGTGTGTAGATTAAGTAACGTGTGCACTAAGTCACAGGGAGTTTCTTTTCCTGAAGCGGCCTCCCTGTGAGTCACCTTTTGTGACACCCTATCCCTGCTCCGCGCACAGTCGACATGATCAGTTCCTCAGGTTGTGTTATTGGCGTGAAGTGACATGTTGTTGTGTCGTCGTGAGGTGCCTCTAATCAGCTAAATGCAGAACCGACATTGGGATAAACATCAGCATGAAGGAGATCATCGAGTGAACTGAAAATACAAGGGGGATGGATAAGTCTCAAAAGCATTTAATAATCTTTTATCATGCCAACATTGCTTTGTGTTTGTTTTTCTTGTGCTATGCTACAAAAAAATAATATTTTTCTTTTGTGGAATATCCTACAGAGACTGAGCAGACTGACAAGACAAAGAATTATAATTTAAATTTCATAGCCCATTCATCATTATTCATAGCTCTATCATACATAGTTTAAATCAACACTGTAGACTGTAATACTAATGTTTCAAATATGAGCAGCATAATAGCATGTTCCCATAAAACGTGACATCAAAGGTGTCAGCGGATGTAAATTACAGGTTTATCTGTAAAAGCTGGATCTCCTCTGAGGCGTGTGAGAGAGTTGTTTAAACAGTTCATTACAGATGGTTGATAACAGCCTTGTTTGGTGTTTTGCCTGTGAAGGATTTTGGTCTGTAGAACAAGGAAATAATTCATGTGATGAGGCCACATCAATCAAATATTACTGTCGTGCAAAGTACAGCTACGCTTGCCAGTTCCTAAAATAAATTTTTACATAAGAAATACATCCAGGCAACTTAGGAAGGTGACCCAAAGCTCCCAGTTGGTTCACCTTTTCACTTGCAGAATATTTGTATTTTTAGGTCTAATTCAATACATGTCTCATAATGCTAAGTTATGGGAGGTTGTAGGTTAACTGTATTACTTGGTAAATAAATTTATTCTGTGACTAGTGTCTTGCATTCTAACTCTGAGGTTAGGCCTGTTTATCAGTTGTAAGTAATTACTCATAACATATTAAAAAACATTATTAAAGTGCATTACTTTTCGAAATCCACAGAAGCAGACGTAAGTAGTTTCATTACTTTCATTACTCAGCAGAGCTCAGTCAAAGGTGCCTTCAAGCTATTCTGTCTCTGCTCCACTTCTGGCCTTCCATACATTAGTCGTAGTAAGAAAGCGTCACTGGGATTAGTTAGTGAATAAATCATGCAATTACTAAATTTCAAATTGTAATCCCTGTAATTGTGCTCAGACAGAATACAAGGTGAACTTTAAGCACTGTGTGATTGTATGCAAAATAAGTGAAAAATTCCCTCAGGGGGTGATGTGAACTGAGATGAAGACATGTCCACACAAGTTGAACATTTTCTGAAAGAGTTAAGAGGAAAAAGGAGGAAAACTGGAGGAAATTAACAAGAACTTCAGTTACAGGTGGAGTTAAACACACATGTGGTAGTTTACAACTAACTGTACAGCTGGTACATTTTCATGCAGCTTTGTTTCATGTAGGTTGTATATATACATGAAATCTTGATGGGGATTTTTTTCTCCAATACCAATACCAATCCAATACTCTGTCAACTTTGTTTGCGTGTGGGCTGTAACATATAGTGTCTAGGTTTCTCTTAAACCAGGGACTTAACATGTTTTGGGGGCTTGTCCACTTTTTCTTTTGTCCGTCGGTGCGTCATTGGAGTTTCATGAGTATTTTTGTCTGTACTTGCCTTTTCTTTTTCCAAACCCCCATAGATGGAAGAACTGTGTATTTTTCTGTGCG